AATGTACCCAAAAGTCTCCGGGGTGGCCCACGGATACAAAGCACAGCTCAAACTCATCTTTACTGGCACTTGTTTCCAGAGGTCCTTGGGCAGTCCCTAGGCTCACAAAGTGTTTTACAGATATGAACTGCTGTAGCTGTGCAAACTGCATTTTGTCCACCATGGCGATGAATCTAGCTCGGGGGTGTGACAAATTGGCTGTCAAACAATGCACAGCAACAGTACGGAGTGACATAAAAAACAGGAAGAATGATGCCTCAGAGGCTTACACGAATATAATATATGGAAAATGCAGTCCCCATTTTTTTAACCCTCCTATTGCTTCTTCCTGGGTCACTGAACAGCTATCACAAGTCTGATCCCTTTCTGCTACCCAGCATCAACACAAAGCCAGAATCCACCAAAGTTCAAGCAGGTCTGAGTCAGCAGTTTGGGCTTTGACCTAGAAAGATTTGCAATGCCAGGGAAATGTGAGTTTTCCTTGGAGGTCTCCTCCAGGTGACTGGTTGTGATGGAAGCTGAAAGAGGCCCAAAAGGAAGAGCAGAAGTCCTTGGGTTACCCATAAGACCTCCCCGCCTCCCTCCCCGTGCCCCCCAATCCATTCTGAAGATGACCCAATAAAGTCATACCTTCACACCTGGGCAGAGGGTGGTCCCAATTTCTATTGGTGCCATGCTGACATGTCAGGACAGGGTGGCCAATCAGTTGGTATCCAGGAAGGCACTCAAAAGATATGGATTGGCCAACGTTGTAACCAGCTCCCCTAACGACACCGTTTGCAAAAGGCTCAGGGTCAGGACACTCCTGCAGCTCATAAGCTGGAAATAAAATAAGGAGATAAACCTGTGCTTCATGCTTTTTTTTTTTTTAAAGAGTTGTAGTCACAATTTGCCCCAGCTAAGGCTTAAGAGACACCATCCTCATTAGATCATGGTCAGCAACCTGACAGACACAATTTCCCCGGAGGACACCTGGTTCCTTAATGCTCAAGCTCCTTGATGCCCTTGATGCCCACAGCAATCAGTCAATCCCCATTATGTTGGAAATCAGGATGAGGAGGGCTTGCAGCTAAATGAAGCGGTCTAATTAGGTATAAAACCTAGCTCCTCCCCTCCAAGTGCAATGACTCCATACAGGACAGCAAGGGGTTGAGGAGCAACACATCCCTCTGGAGTTGCAGTGACGGCAAATGCCCGACTGCTTGTCAACAGCCGCATTCATGGAGCTGGAGCCCTGCTCTCAGTTTTTCCTCTCCTCCCAGTCCCTCAGTAGTGCCTGTGTCCTCAAAGTCACCCTGCAGCTCACTTCTAATTGGGGAAATCTGCCTCCTTTTCAACCAAATGCATATGATTTTGATGACAAATGGATGGCAATTGGCTAACATGCTCCGCCTGACATCATAAATTATTGGTCAGCCCTGCTAGACCTAATTTGCATAGCAATTTCCATGAGATTACCCATGGTGCCTTGGAGCATGCATTTCTTTCTAAATTGTACAGGAGCACATGAATTATATGGTGCATACACAGGGAAGCCAAGGCAAAATTAATGTTTTCAATTAGGTCTGAGTAGTGGCTTTTATTGCTATTTCTGGGGAGTCAGCCCTTTTCCAACCTTTGGCTATATCACCCGGACAAAGATATACACTCTGCCTTTCTCACTCCAAAGGTTTTCCTCTGATGTGGTGGCAGATCACTTGGCTCCCAGTGGCTGCACACCACGCCACTGTCATCTCCATCATTATAGAGAAGGATACCCCATTATCCTATTCCCGTAGGATACCCCGTCTGTGGACGCTCACAGGCACCATAGACTGGTAGGTACAGAAGGGCAACATGTCTTTGGGAACATACTGATCTCTGCACTGAGGACCCGGGACACTCGAGCTCTCTGCCTGGGCACAGACAGTATTTCTGCAAGTTAAAGGCTTGTTCAGGCCCCTTGACTCAGACACAACAGAGCTGTTTCTAGGTATACACGTGGGTGTCAGCCTCACTGGTCTATTAACCGCTTAACTTCTTTTAATGTAGCTGCTAGTGTACTGGAGGGATGAACTGACCCCTCCGCAGACAGGGCAAGGGACAAGAGCTGATCAACTTCAGGATACCCCTTCAAAAGCACTCCGGGCAAGGGCTGGCACAAGGAGACGCTTGCCCTGCTTCTGGCCAGGCTGCATCCAGGCAGACAGAGGAGTCCACTACCCATCTAGCACTTAGCATGAGCAGTACATCCACCAAGAGATGTTTTTCGAAGAAACACAGTGAGCCCCAGAGCAATGTATCTTATAGACCAAGGGGCTTTCACTGCTCAGGGGCCGACGTTTTCCAACATGACCAATAACTTGGAGTGCCTGGTTTGTGCGTGTCTAACTTGAGATCCTGAACTTGAAGCCCTGTTTCCCTTTCCACCCCTGAAAATCTGTCTCTAAGCTGTCTGAAGAAGAAAAGGCCAGGCATTTTTCATCTAGACCAGGGGCAGGCAATTATTTTCAGTGGAAGCCCGCTTACTGAGTTTTGGCAAGTCATCGAGGTGGCCAGGGGGGCAGATAAATATTACTTTTCTAAGTTTTTTAGGGGCCCCACGGGCCGGATAGAATGGCCTGGCGGGCCACGTCTGGCTCGTGGGCTGCATTTTGCCCGCCCCTGATCTAGATAGTCCTTTGTTGGCAACTGCTGGTTTATCAAACCCAAATCTTTTGCAGTGATGGTCTGGCTTCAAAGATCCTCTTGTCAGGAGGGTTCCTTATGGCCCAAATGAAATTTCTGAGCAGACGTGTGAGCATGTGCCAAAGCCATCTCATGACAGCTGACCTCTCTGTGGTCCAGGCGTAAATACAACTGTGATGTGGGGGGCTCTGTTCTGCCTAATTCAGAGGAGAGACCAGCACTTACATCTCCCACATCCTCATGAGTGCTGTGACCTTTAATTATTGATAATTCGGGGATGACTCCCTTTCTCTCATGCTTTTTTCCCGCAAAAAAACCCTCCAAAAGACTCAGTGCTGTTCAGATGAAGAACAAAGCCAGCCAACAAAACCTCAACATTTTTCACGGCTCAAAATTTTCATTTTTGGGCCAGCCCATGCCTGAAGGCAAGTATAGAAAGATGGGGGCACCATGAAACATGGGGCACTTTTAAAAATATAAGCCAGGTTTCCCTTTAGAAGTGATTCTGTGCTTCTCTCTCGTTCTCTGTTGAAGTTTTCACATCAGACCCATTACTGCAATATCTGAGTATTTGGTTAAACTGGGGGGTTGGCAATATACAGCCTGAGGAGCCCCTGGATCCAGCCCAGAGAGCCAGGGGATGGGAGTGGGGGGCTTTGCGGGTGCCTACACTGGGGTCAGGCAGTGGGGAGAAGCAGCAGTGGCAGCCGGGCCAGGACACCCGCCTGCCTTGGGCCCAAGGCAGGTTGTTCCAGCCGACGGCTCTGAAAGGATGCTGTCCGCCGGGTTAAACCATTGTGTTTCTTCTGTCTCTCTCTATTTTATTAAATGCCTGACCCCTCTCTGGCAGGCTGCCTCAGCATGCCACAAGAATGCATTATGGCCACAGGAAACACAGATGACCTCTCAGCGCCCAGCTTGGCCTCCGATTCAGAAAAACAACTGCAAAATCCCAGAGAGACAGTGCATCCCCCAGGGACTTCCTCTAAGCCCACGATACTCAAGAGCCCAGTTCTACGTGAATCTGGCTGCAATTAATTCTGATGCATGTCGCTGTCACAAAGCACGCTAGGACCACGTTATTATTGGCTTCAGGCATATGGCAGGGAGAACAGACCCCGGCTATTAGGATTAAGTATGGATCTCATGTAACACCTTTCCACTCATTTGGATTAAGCCCTCAGCTTGCTAACTCAACAGAGGAGCAGCTCTTGTGCTCTCCACCTCCCCTCTGCCTGCCCCGGGGAAAGGATTGCCCCTTTTTTGCTTGTTCAGTGGCCTCGTTACCTTGGTACTCCAGCTTAAACCCTGGCTTGTTTTGTGAGTGGTCGCTGTGGAAGTAGACGGTAGTTTCATGGGACGTCGACAGCAGGGAGCCCGGGATTTCAGTGCCGCTGAACCTGCCGATCACGTTACTGGTGTCGTAGGGCCCGTTTCGGATTTCAACAAAGTCATGGTTCGGCTCGGTGGAGAAGTTCAGGAACTGGATGTGCGCTCCTGAGCAGAAGGAGGAGACATGAATGCGGTGCTCAGGTCTGCGCCATTCAATGAGGGAAAAGAGCTGTTCTTTAGGAAACCAGACATGCACCAGATTCACGAACAGGGAGATTTAGGGGATTAGCCTTCTACCAGATTGGGGCTGGAAGGGAGCTGAGCTGGAGAAGTGGGAATTGCACATGCTTCCCCCTTTCTAACGGTGGAGAGGGTGATCCAGCCTGCACCGATCCAGCAGGAATTCTAGCTGAGTCAGGATATGATGTGATAAAGGTCTTCTTACATTAAGGCTCCATTTAGAAATGGTCCACAAAGGGTGAAGAAAGCTTAATGGAAGTTATGAGCATATTCCAAACTTGGGTGGTGCAGGGGGCAGATGGGTACGAACACACCACCGAAAGTGCCGCAACTGGTTTAAAACCACGTCTACAAGGATGCAGCTTCTTGACTTTTATAGGCCAAGACCATGAGTAGTCCCTGTTCTTATCGGCCTCAGGACAAGTGTAGTGGGTTCTTAACCTGGCAGGGGAAATACCATATATCTGTGTCCAAGATGACAGTTTTCCTGAACCGCCGTGCAGGAGAACTGCTCTTTTGGCCTGGTTCAGTACCCGACGAGATGCAGCAGCTTTAAGACCAGTTTATGGAAACGGGCGTCTCCTCCCTTGCTTGCTCCTTATGGCTGAGGGCAAGCAAAATGTGGGGGAATCCAAACCCCAAGCCACCAGGCTTGGGCCTGCGCATAGGATGCCCACCAAAGGTTTTGGAAACACCTGAAGCCCCAGGTGTGGGTGGAGGATGTTTGCGGGTAGTAGGGCCACTTGGATTTGGCATTAGTTTTGGCTAATTTGGCTGTGGATGCAAATAAAAAAAAGAAAAGAAAAGTCTACAAGGATGCAGCTGACCTGCTAGACTCTAGAATGATCTTCATGATTTTTAACTTGTTATAAATATGAGGGATGGCCAGGATTTCAAACAACATCATTTGACTTATTCAGAATAACCAACAATGCTTTCCGAGCTAGCATTTAGCAGTGAACCAAGACATTAGCAGTGACATTTAGCCGTGAACCAAGTAGATGCCACTTATTCTGGAATAGCAGCAGAGCAGTGCTAAGTTCTTAAGTACCAGCTGCCTTACCAAACCCCACTGGCAGGGATATCCTCCAGCTGCAATCCATGTTGCTGGGGTAGTTTCCTGGGAACCCAGGGCTCAGGAGCACTCCTTCCATCTCTTCTGCGGTCCCACCGCACTGAGCTGTAAAATTAACAGGGGATTGATGTTAACGGAAAGGACCTGCTGAAAAGTCACAGGGGCCACCACTTTATTTAACATCAGTGTCTTTTAGAAAAGGGAACCAAAAAAGAACCATGAAACCCATCTAACATTTGCCACTCATGACTCTGCTCACTCCATTGTATGCTACATCTTTTTCCTCCATCCTATGTCTAATCTCTTAAACCCCAAGCCTGAGCCTGGAGCTGGACTTCTGAGCAAAATCAGCAAAGAAACCTATTCATCTGTCTTCTTCCATCCACTCAAATCACTTCTCTGCTTTCTGAGTCAAGGTAGAAGAGTTTCTGACCAGTTTTAACAAGATCTGGACAAACACTTAGGAATGCAGAAGGCTGTGGATATGCACCGCCTCAGACAAAACCTCAACTAGTGGCTCATAAACGAGACAGTTACAAAAGACGCCCAATGAAATTGAGGACTCAGAGTCTTATGTGGCTTATCTGGAGGACTCCCGAGCTGCTACCGTAAGTAATACTTTCCAAGTCAACGCACAGACTCATAGTCTTAATCCAGGCTGACGCTGAAGGTACAGATTCCCTTTGCCCAGCCTCTCATTATGCATGTTCTTGCTGCTGACAATGCGTCTCCTGTAAGTTTTCTCCCTTAATGGCAGCTTAATGTAATTCTTCTTAAATTATTTAAAAGGCAAACACCTGGATTAAATAAACCAGAAGAAACCAGCAGAACCTTGCCTGGGACTTAATCCATTTTTGCTCGCGGTTTGCAATTTTCTTTGTTTCCAAACCCTGCAAACACTCCCTTCCTCCCCCCTTTTTCCACCCACCAAAAAAAGGAGGAAAAAAAAAAGAAAAATAAAAAGAAGGTAATGCCTGACTTAGCATTTAAGTGAAAAATCCTCCTTCTTTGGAGCCATTAGGGAACTATATATATACACGCACAAATTTTATGTGTTAGGCACTGAAACAGGCCATTTGATTTTACATGGCAGTGCAGGTGCTCAGCGTCTCTGAGAACCAAGTAACTACCAAAGGTTCCTCAATATGGATTTAGGGCATCTAACTTTAGCTGCCAGGCTCCTTTACTAAACCAGGGAGGGCCTGATCTGCTGGGGGACTGCTGAGTCCTTCTGCCTCCCCCACTGGTGTCAGTGGCAGTTAGGGGTGCTTAGCACCTTGCAGCATAGGGCCCCGACTCGCGAGCAAAGACTTGAGAACAGGATTTTTCAACCCTGCCATGGGGTCCTTCCCCACTCCTGTTTACCGCAGCCCCTTCCCAATGAAACACACAGTGCAAACAACGGCGATGCTTCCCCCCCCCCCCCC